GAGGGTCATGTAACAACCGTTGCTGCTCTTCTGAGGGTATTTCTGGATGAAAAAATTATTACTATGTGTTCATATGAAAAAACATGTAGCCTACATGTATAGAGGAGATGTGTATTTGATAAAAACTGTGAATCAAAAGTATCAGCAAATGATATCACTGCTGAGGTTACAAAAAGAACTGAAATAAGAGGTGCTTTCGTGAACATTTGGTTTGTGATTGGTCTGTCATTGTCCAATCAGATTCAAGTCTAAAAACAGCGTAAAAATTGTACTTGCAGCCACAAATTTTTAAAATATACTGTATGTACACACAAGGTTTACTCATTAGAAATATATTTCAAAGGTCAACTGACTTTCTTAAAAGCTTTATAAAATGTTGTAAATTAAGTTCGCAATTAGTACAGATTTTAAAAATGGGCAAATATAAAGTTAATTCATGAAGCGGCTCGCTTTCATCCCCTCTGGCTAAAAAGTGCCAAGACTATCTAAGGCTATCTAAGACATCACAAGGAATGATTGTATCACAGTTTTTCATATTACCTTTAGAATCCTAGAGGGCCGAGGACAAACCAATTTAACATAACAGCTGGGTTGATCTTGATTTCATCTATAGCTCACAGGGTCTTCCAGTGAGGCATATTCCCATTCTTTAATAATTTTAATTTATTGTTCAATAAATTAAAATTTGATTCAAACATTTCATAATATATTTAAAAGAATTGGCAACTGTTTAAGTTATTGAATTAACTTTAAATTCTCATATGCTCATTTATAAAATCTGTACTAATTGAAAACTTAATTTAAAATATTGTATGAAGCCTTAATCGTTTGACTTCTAAAACATATTTCTTACGAGTAAACTTTGTATACCCCAAAAATGTGATATATGAATATACATATATATACATACATATATTAACACATATTAACATTTGTGTGCTCCTTCACAGAAATAACGACAAGACCAACTTCCACTGCTGAGGTCATGTGATTTCCTGTCAACTGCGGAGGTGCCTGAGAAGTCTGCCATCGTGTCTACAATCAGGTACTCTTGATTCACCTGGTGAAAGTACACTTACGCCAGTTTTCAGGCTAATTAGCTATCCAGCTACAGCACGCTGAAAAGTACTTTAAACTTACCCAATAATGTCATTACAGTCGGTACAGAAGCTGATGTGGTTCTCTCTCTACAGTATCTCTGCTAACTAAACACTGTGCACTTTGTGTTTCCTCTCTGCTGCTCTGCTGTCAGTTACACGCGCCCACTAACCACTTCAGAGGCTGAGAGATAAAATACGACTTTTCCTCTTCCATTTGATGGCAAAAATTATAACCAAAACAAAATGACATTACATTTTTGACCACGAAAGGGGATAGTAGCTTTTCGTCAGGCTTTAGATAAATATTGCTGTATAACTGAGTCAGCTCACTGGCTCGTCTCTACTTGTGTTATTGTTGTAATGTTTTACCATTTAACATTATTTGTTAAATCTCACTTGTAGCCACTGTAGCCGCTATTCAGCAAATGTAGGTTTAACGGTCTCGCTTTGATTAGAAATGGCTAGATAAGCAGTCGAAAACACTCTTAATGTGACCTCTTCTGCACAGGCACACGGACATGACTCTAATTCATACTGTAGACAAACATATCCAGATACATGCACAAAGAAATGATCCAGGTTGAAGAATTATCCAGGGAGCTAACCTTGTGATTTTCTCCTTTAACCTAATTTTAAACCTAAAATGTAGCTAAAGCACCAGAATTACACGGGCCTTTCTTTTACTGTCCATGTTGTAATGCTTGCTTTGTCCACGAAGGGGCAGCAGAGTCCCTCATATTTTTTCACATATAAATTGGGTGCACTAAACAAAAATCCTCATCCTTTACTCTTGTTGCCTTGCTGTCTCTTTTGATCGTCGTTCGCTTTGTTCCTACCAGCTTACTCCATCTTTCGAGCACAATACTGCACATTTTGTTGTTCATCTATTTATTGAGGATTAGAAACATGAAAAACATACCAAAAAAGTTTTTGAAAACATGAAATAATCTTACACACTGAATAAGAAAAGATTTATATAAACCATTGAAAACACTAAGGCTACTGTAGTAAACCACTATGAAACCTTTATGAACAATATCCTCAGCAGTCGCTGTCGTTGGCACCATTCTAGGAGAGCATGTTCACGTGTAGTTTTGTGCTTGTGTGAGCAGTAACCTGAGCTTTGAGACATTTGTTATCTACATAAAGGTGTGAATGTGAGGCTGCAGCGACTACACAGTGATTAATGTTTGCATTTTCATGCATCCATGTCTGAGTTTGATTGAGTGTGGTATACAAAACTGTCCCAGTTCTTGCTTTCTGGCTCCATGGACCAGGACCAGATGCTGTGCTTCCTCTAGGTATAAATGTGTGTGTGGGGGGGGCAGGGTACAAAACTTGATGATGGATGGATGGATGGATGGATGGATGGATAAATGATCTATAAATCACTAATAAGAGTTAGAGTCATGATGGACAAATCAGTGGATAGGTTAGATCATGACAGATGTTCGGGGCGTTTGAATTTATAGATGCTGGGCCAGGCTGGGTGGAGGCCTGGTCAGGAGAGTGGTGGCAGGGATCGGGTGCTGACTGGGCTGTACTTCATCCTGCATGATGGTGATGGAGGGGGCTGGGTAAGATGAGGTGAGGAGGGGGATGGATGAATGTGTCCACTCTGGTAGTCTCTCCCACTCCAAGAGCGCTCTGAGCCTGGATCTTGAGATCGACCTCTGGGCCTGCGTAGCTGAGGCGGGGTGGAAGCGGAGGTGGGCATGCATCTATACTGGGCAGGAGAGTGGTGGGAGGACGGATGGTAGGTAGGGGAAGAATAGCACCCAGGTGCAGAATGACGAATGGGTGATGGGTGGCGACCAAGTGAGGGGTGACGGCCAGGTGAGGAGTGCCTTCCACACAAGGGCTCACGGTAAATGGATGGGTGCTCCTTGGCGTGTCTGGGTGATTTGGGTGACTTGGGCACCTTGGGCGACTTGGGTGTCTTAGGTGTTTTGGGCGATTTGGGTGATTTGGGAATGGGATAAGAGGTGGAGTAAGAGTTTGCACAGTGAGTGAGAGGTGCATGGCTGGGAGAAGTGGGGTCTCCATTGTTGGCAACCTTGTAGAGGAAGACGTCATACTGAAGGGGCGGGCTGGTCTCTGAGTGGAGCTTGGCCTCTTTAGGGAGGAGCACTTCCAGGCCAATAGTGACTCCATCCTGATGTGAAAATATGGCAAGTAGAGAAAGATGCAACAATGCAAGGAGAGTCATAGAGGCAAAAATAATGAAACAAAGCTGTACAGAGATACAGGCATGGATGGATTATGAGACAATGGGCCCCTGGGCACACAGACAGCTCTGCTTTGGATCGCCACCAACTTCTCAGGGAAATATCTGACTTTTTCGCTGCTAAATTGTCCACTATGTTCACTGGCTAGTCTGCCATCTAATGCTGGGTAGCATACAAAGAAGTTTTAAAGCTATTTCATTGACAGGAGCTGCCTGCTACAGCTGAAAACAATGCTATGATAGCGGAGGGGGGAAACCAAAACAGTGAAATTAGGGTTGGTAAATGAAATCAATGAGCTGAAAATCACTATAAAGCTCTGTGGAGCTGAGGGAAACTGCTGAGTGGGCTGAGAATTCTCTGTGGGTTTATCATCAGGAACAACCTCTTTCAGATATGAGCATATGTGATCCATAGTTAATACAAACATATTTTTTATAGCCAGATTAATCATAACTCTCAGAGTCTGTTATTGATTGTTCAGGCTGGAGATGTATAAATCAATAGATACATTCCTCTACACAGATATACAAAATCCTGTAGAGCATACTATACATTTTACAGGAAACTATCAAAAGAAACCTGTAATGTTGATTTTATTTACTTAAAGCACAATTTCTCTGCTGTACTTTTTTTTCCTTTCTAGAATTTGAGGCAACTTTTTACTGCACTGTAACACCGTTACCGAATTTAAGGTCTATTATGTCTGTCTGTCTGTACTTTATTTTCTTATTCCATCTCTCTCTAATTTCAGCCCATTTCAATGATTTTTTATTGTCCTTCATATTGTAATATTAAATGTTCAGTTTCTTTGCCTTTATTTGCTATGCAATTGATAATTTTGATGTTGGCTCATTTTAATCTAAATGTGCAGCTGTATTACCAAAAAAAATATCAGATCAGACTAGGCATCAGATGATTACCAATATTTATAACAGAGACCCCTGATACCTCAGGTCTGGGCCCAATAGGCCCATTTACTAATTCATCCATGGATGGAGAAGGGTCAAAACAGATGACAGCACAAATGATCAGAACTAGACATGGAGATATAAAACAAAACAACAATGATACATACATGATGATACATATATACATATACAGATAATCGTAAAAAAAAAAAAAAAAATTGTGAGTTTGAATTGAAATGATGGTGGGCCACAAATGTGGACTTGTAAAATTAAAGGATTAAAAGTTGGAAGCTCAAAATTTTCTAAAAAGTACAGAGAAATACAAACAGATAATTTAACTTTCATCTCCATTCATTGTTTAAAAAAATATAGATCTATAATTGACAAATTAAAAATGAGTAACCTGTGATGTTTTCCCTGCTACGACACTGGGTCTGGTTAAAAAGCCTGCTGTAAATTTTAATGTCTGACAGGGAGAATAAAAAAAGTTGTATTTCAAGCTGTTGCAGTAGTTTCTATTCATCTCGAGGAGCTGTCCATGGTGCTGAATGGGCACACAGTCGCCATTGTGCGTGTAGTGTAATCTGTGAGCTGCCTACTGTGGCACAAAAGCAGGGTCAGCCATGCATTCAATTATTATTAGCATGGGAGCAGTTGGGCAGTAGTTAGCTTCATTGTGAGCAGGCATGCAGAGAAAGGAGAGAGAGAAAGAGAGAGTCTCGAGGGAAAGCAGAGCTCATAGCAACACACAGGGACAAGCTGGATAAAATTAAAAAGATTTATTCCAACCACTGTGAACTATAATCCTCCATGTATACCCAAAAAAGTACAAAAGAACCTCAAGTACATTAAAGTATTAGAAATCACATTGAAAACCAAGACACAGCGTGTGTAATACTGTATGTGTATATAGATTCAAATATCAACTCCAAGCAATTACTTTGACCTCATATAATCTAAACATATCCACTTATTAGCAATGTCAAACATGAATATTTCGCAAATACAGATTCACTTGATTTCCACGTACTTCTTTTGCAAATATTACGTTTTCAGACACTTTTCGTTGATAACACCAATGCATGCGGGCAGAGGGAGAGACAGTAAGGCAGGGCAGACTGGGGGTGGGGTGGGGATGGGGGCAGGACAGGAGAGGAGACAATGAAGGAGCAACAGTTCATTGGTCAAAGACCAAGGCAGGGCATCAGTAGAGAGGAAAGTCAGTCATTAGTTGGTCCAAGCCAGAGATTTTAGACCAGAGTAAGAGGCAGACAGAGAAAAGAAAGGAGGCAGTGGTGCCACTATCTGATCAGTGATGTCATGGCAGCCTTGTAAACAGGACTATTGTGCTTCTCAAGTTGTAACCTTAAATTCATGTTGTGCTTACTTTTGACATTAGGCCTAATTCAAACTTTATAAAACACACAATATGTACTTTTCAAGGTGTAAACAATATTAGCCTATAATGATCTCCTGTTGTTTGTGTGCGCATTGAATATTTTGGTCTGATTCTCTGGCAGCACACTTTGACAGATGGTGACATTATACCAGGTTGTTCTGGAGCATGTTTACCTCGGCATTTTCCTCTGTGTTGTTGGGGGTGTGGTCGTGGACGACAGAGGTCGGGCGATTGTTCTCATGCTTGGGGGAATGAGAGTTGAGGATGTTCATAGACCCCTCTTCCTTGGGTTGCGGGGACTTTGCTGGGTCCTCCTGCTTCTGAGGCTCATCCTGTGAGGACAGTTAGTTACTCTTTACATATGCACATACAAACACACTTTGAGGTACACACATACACACACATACACAGAGCACGTATTACACAGGGTTCTGTAACCTTGAAGTGCATCAGCTCCTCACATTTGCATATCTGAGTGTGGATGTGTGTGCACTTGCAGGGACCTTAAATGCTTTTCTGCTTGTGTCCAAGCTCCACTTAAGACTGATACTGTAGCTTTCCCATCCTAATTTGTCATTGTATAATCACTTGTGTGTATAATTTGTATTTTACATCATTTGAGGGCGTGTAGTATTCTTGTCCAATTCATTGTTTGAGGTTGTCATTTAACAGGAAAACCCAATGGTCTGGCAACTGCTGTGTTACCGCTGTGTTCACCAAAATATGCACAAAATTGATTCCATAAACCTCTGAGGCACATTACATCCCCACAGGATGCCTTTTTACCAACAGGTAAAAAGAAGAGGCTATGTGTGTTGGAGGAAGGACATGGGAATCTACAGTATGTCCAGATAATGGAGTTAGCAGGGTAAATGACAATGTGGAATCCTCAAAGAATTTTGACTAAATTGAATGAAAACTAAAAACTAAACTGAAACCAAAAATGGAAACTTAAAAAACATCCATCTCAGTAAGAACCAAAACAAAATCATATGCCTATCCTGCAGATAGCTTCTGTCGTGCTAGAGATGATCTTCTTGAACTGATATGGGTCACTCTATGAACTGATACTCGAACTGCATGCCTGAACCTTTATCTAATCAACTAATCATACCTCAGCCTTTTAAAAAATACCGATCGGCTCTTTGACATTTAAAAAACTGCATTGCAGACTACATGGCTGCAGGGGCTTTTTAGCCTCTAGACCTGACATTTAGAGCATCCGGAAGTCACAGAAACTCGGCGGTAACAACTGCGCCGAAATGCCAGCAGAGCTCTGAGAGCAGTGGTTTATATTAAAAAAAGCAAGTCACTTGAACAGTCAATTTGTTCACTCCAGTTAGCCCAGCCAAGTGTGGGTAATGGCCTGAGAATTAATATGCAATTTTTTAAAATCCATCAATCTGTTCTCGTGTTTGCGAATGCATGTGTGTTAAATGTATTTAATGCATGCAGTAATCAATGAGAGAGCCGTGTTTGTATCACATCAAAACTATTGTGTCTGTGTACATCTGCGTGTGTCAGCTCGTAAATGTTCAAGCCATTGATTGATTGGTATGTCACAGACATCTGAAGGTCATGGGCTTAGCAGGCAGTAAGTAGGACACCATTGATCAGTCACACTGGCCACAGCTGGATATGACTCACTAAACGCCCTTTCACACCAGAGACAACAAGTTCAAAAAGCTTGAGGTCATGCAGGTAAAATAGTGTTGTTCTGTCGATCTCATAAACTTTATGTAACAACATTGGTTAATCTCTATTTATATCTGCCTCTATTAATAAGAATTTCCATTGATTATTGAGTTGAAGAGTTTAGTCATGCCTCAGTAACCTTACTGTATTGGCTTAGTAACCTAGAAAGCCAGTATGATTGATGAATGCCAAACAGGGGCACACATAAATCTGCCTGAAAACACAAATCCCCACACACGGAAACATGGATAGAAATTTAATTAATGCATCAGTGCATACACATTCATATTCACAGACACACACACATGCTTCTACATAATGCAGTTCACCTTATAACAGCACTACATGCACAACCTTTGGAGGGGAGAAGGGGGAGACCTGCTGCACTGGGACCCTAAAATGGCTGTCTGAGCTTTATGGGCACAAGAGCGAAGCGAGCAGCTAAAACAAAATGGAGGCTCGGTTTCCTCATTGAGCTTCTCAGGAAGCTGCAGAGGCACGGGTAAGAGAGACAGCAAATGTGGGAAGTTGCGATTTATTCAGACAGGGCTGGCTACATGACACCTCTGAACAACTGATTGCAGGAAGCCTTGCAGGAGGTAATTAATCATTTCACCTACACTGTACGTGGAATACAGATGATACAAGATCGGGTGCAGGAGGAGTTTGTGGAGGTGAGGTTTTGCAGAAAATGGAGAACCAAAATCTGGCATCTAGCAGTTGCACAGTGGATAAGTTCAAAGCAAAGCCAGGGAGGGAAACTGCTGCAGGCAATGTGGATGTTTCTGCTCTGCTTACCTGGAAGTGGTTATAAGGGTTTCTGGGTTTATATTCCCAGGTATAGCTGGTTGTTGATGGCCTCTGAGGGGATCGGTGAGTGTGAAAAGCATTAAACACACACTTATACTGTACATACACAACTCCAGGTGAAAACCCAATAAAATTTATAATTTGATAGGGCATCAAGGCGAGTTTGGTGTGTACATAACACTGCAAGACTCAGTTAGTTGGATGTTTTCAGTACAGATAGACGGGCATGCACACAGACAGAAAGATAAACGGACGCAGACAGAGATACAAAGATCAAACCACTACTCAAGCTGGGGGGAGAACATAATGAGGAAAAGAGGAAAACAGATGGAGGAAAATTAAACAGAAGAAAAGAGAAAAGAATCAAATGGAAAAGAGAAAAGAATCAAATGGAAAAGAAGAGGAATGGAAGGAAAGAGAGAGGAGAGTAAACATGAGGATAGTTGGGGCATACCTGACAGATAATGTTGTCATAGTACGCCAGGTTGTGAGAGTGAGCTTGGGGAGCGGGCGGAGGGGTGTCACACAGTTTCCTTACGTTTGGCTGCGAGCCGTCGGCTGTTGTGGAAACCGAGAGGCCGTCCGTCTGTGGCTCGGTGCTCTGTGGGCGGTACTTACTGCAGGAGGAAAGAGAGGGAGAGAGAGGTGTGTGATAAATATTTGCAGCAAACGTGTCTTTTTTTTTTTTTTTCATTTTTTCTGTCTTTCTTTGCATTTGTGTCTTTCCACGTCCATATTTTCCTGTATTGCTCTGCACAGTGGGAAACTAGGTTTAAAGCCTCTGGGAGACACAAAATGTATCATCACAATCTAAGAACATAAATAATTCAGTGGACACCAAAGATAATTAAATCAACTCTAAAAACTTTTCACGTTCTCGCCTCCCAGTCACACACACACACACCTGCGTTTGCGAAGGCGCTTGTTCTCGTTCTTGAGGCGGTGCAGCCTCTTGGCAAAGAATACGATGATCATGAAGAGGAGGAGGAGCACAAAGGAGGCCACGCCCACCACCACACACAGCACCTGAAACTCAGTGACTGCCCAATCACAGCGCGTGCCTTTGTTCCAGATGTAGTCCTGCACATTGCACCTGGATACAAAGGGGGGTGGGGGGGTTAATTAGATAAAGATTGGTCATTCTTTCATCGTTATACAGCTTGGCTTATGAAAGTATTTGCCTTTTTATATTAAATTAAGACTTTTAGCTGGTCAGCTTTTAGTAATCCACCTTCCTTTCCTTCTAATCTGCTGTATGAAAAAGCCCGAAGCCAAGAGGTTTATCATCAGTGTTTGCCCACTACACTAGCTTATTTACCATATTTATCACTACAGCGTGTTATCCACAGTAAAGAGTGTAAAATGGTACTCAGGGCTGATGACATGGTGTCCTGAGGTCTGTCCAGCAAAGCAGGGATTCGGCCTGCAGCCTAGTCCTTAATGAGATCAAAGGATCAGGACACATGCATGCGTGTGTGTGTCTGTCTGTGTCTGTGTGTGTGTGTGCGTTTGTACCTTGTCCATATTCCTGTCTTTCTCTGTGCAACTGCATGCGTGTGTTTGAACTCTTAGATATCCCAGTGTGTGTGTGGGTGTGTGTGTGGTTGTGTGTGTACATGAGTGAGTGTGTGTGTGTGTGTGTGTGTGTGTGTGTGCTATTACTCAGCAGGTAAGATCAGATGAGCAACAGTTTACCTCTAAGCTTACAGTGCGGTTGTAGGATTGGACAGATGGTGCTATCGAGGCGTGGTGCATAAGTGAGTGTTCATGTGCATGAGCAGTGTGTGTGTGTGTGTCTTTATTTAATGTGTGTGTTGCTCCCTAACCTCACTGTATTGTCATATTTCTCACACACTTTCTGTATGTGCATACTGCGTGTGTCTACATCAGCCTACCAACACACACACACACACCCTTACCCCCTCCCTCCAAAACTGAGCTAATCCTTTGGCGACCCTGCTGTGTTCTTGACGAACCCTCATGACACATTAAGCCAGCCTTCTGTCTTTGTGTATGTGTGTGTTTTCTGTGTATGTGTATGCTTGTCTGAAATGTCCTAAATCTTTTCTTTTGTGTCAGGGGGGAACATACTGGAAATTTTCACAACATAAATTAAAAGGGGAGGTTGTTTTAGCTCCAAACAATCCTCCCAGACACTCCTGGTGCTGCTCTCATACTGTAGATATGTATGTCTACCAGTTTTCCTCTAACATGTCACTGCCTGCTTGTAAATGCTGATATAAAAATAACTGTGTTATTTAAAACGATCAAAAAAAGAAGGAAGGTGCAATCCTCCTTGTAATTTAACCAAAGACTAAAAAAAACAGCCAGTGACGTTTAACTGTGGGAAAAAAAATGTTTTTTTTCTCACCTGCAGAAGGCTCCCATTCCTGCCACCACGGTGCACACCCCTCCATTGAAGCAGAAATTGGGTTCAATGTCACACTGAGACACACACACCCCTGGTCCAGAGCGTACAAAGCCCAACCTGCAGCCATCCGTCCCCATGGCACCACCTAGGCCCAACCCATCACCCTTGTCTGGCCCTGGCATAGGAGGAGCAGGTAAGGAGGGCCCGCTGTCTACATTAGGCTTCACCTTGTCAGGAACAACAGAAGTACCAGTAAGGAGTGGATTCTCATCCTCCATGTCGGGCGGGGGTGAAGGGGTGGGCTCAGGTTCTGGTGTAGTATCTAATGCCGAGAGGTCGTCATCAGGGGACAGGTAGTCGTAAAAGTCAGAAAGCGTCCATGCAGTAGGGTCTCCCCCTTTCTGCTTCTGGGGTTTTGGGGCTTTCGCCCAATCCAGAGCAGAATCAGAGGGCACAACATCCGGCGCCGGGCTGTGGAACTCCACGGTGATGACGTCATCGGACAGGGGGTTTCCAGGCTGGTCTGGACCCGCCCCGCCGGCAGTGAGCTCCTCCCCAACAGGTGGGTCCTCTTCTACAAAGTCTAGGTGGACACGTTTACGAGAATGGTGATGTTTGGTGGAGCTGAGAGGGAGTTTGGCCCCGAGACCTGCTCCGATCAGGTGGTCTCTCTCTGCTGAGTCATCACTGAGCACCATCCTGGTGTTCAAGGCCTCCTTGTTGACAGTTGATTGGTTGTGGTGATGATGGTGTCTGGCCAGTTGATGCCTCCCTGTCAATTAGACACAGAAAAACATTAAAGGGTAGTCCAGTCATTTAGTATTTTACTTCCATAAAATTGTGTGACTCACAAGTGACAAATTTTAAAGATTTTTCAATTTCAGATTTTTCAAAATCATTGCAGCAAAGACTGACTTTTGGTTCCTTATCGTGGATAAAGCTCTGGAAACACTATATCCCACACTTCCCATAATGCAATAGTGTCTTTTCATTACATCCTTTCTACCTGGAAAAAAAGATCACACCAGAATGTAACACAAGCTTTTTATTAAAAAAAAATGTCTGAAAGGAGGATAGCTGTGATGACATCCATGGGGCTCATTTACTCATACCAGCAAAAGCTCCTCCAGAACCAATGAAGACATCGTACAGCTGCTTTCACAGGCAGCGGAGTCCTTCATGTGACAGGTAAACTGACATTGATGTGTAAAATCAATCGAGTGCCCCTTTGACATAATCTTATTGTCAACATTGCGTCAGTGGCAGAACAGTGGGGGAGTTTGTCAGGTATTTTTTCATCTAAATATAGAGGACAAAATAACAAAGAAAGGCTCAGAGCTAATCCCATAGCACTTTCTTTGTTTTGTTTTATAAAGATTGTGGCCAAGGGTGAGACATGAATAATTGAAATGGATCCTAACAGTATTCTGCAGAAATGCCTTAAGGCTGAACCGACTAGGTTTTCACTCTAAATTCACATGAATTTGACAAACAGTATAAAATAATGCACAAAATTGGTTTAATTGATGTAAAGATAAGGGGCTCAGCAAAAACCTTGCTATGATTCATGTTTAAGAGCTAAGTGATTAATTGTGAAAGAAATCAGAACAAGAGCTGGACACTGTCATGTAATCAGACTGTGGAGATGTAGGATTAGGAACACTGACTGATTGTCTAATGTGCTCTGGTGACCGAGACTGGGTGAGGATTAGATTAAGATTTAGAGCTATAGGTTAGAGGCTGACTGCAGGCACTTCTCTTCTACTAGGCAAGCTGCAGAGAAAGATGCACACACATAGTCACAGAGGCAGAGAGAGAAAGAAAAAGAGAGAGGACAAGGAGATACAGCCTGACAAGAATTCTTAAAACTTTTTAACATGCAGCGAGTCACCAATGGGCCAGCAATTACAAACTTGTGCTGTGCAGCCAAACATCGTTCAAACCCACAGAACTCTATTTCAAATTCAAGTGCAGATCCAAAAGTTTCCAAAACAAAAAAAAAACTTTTGATTTTGTCCTTTTGGACAGAGAAGAGAAGGTATTTCCAATCTTTTTGCTAAGATAAACTAATGGGCTGCTGGCGGATGCTTCATATTTAGCTTATGACATAAGAGTCATATCAATCTTCTCATCTAAGTCCTGGCAAGAAGGCTCATTTGTGCATCTCCAGAAATGTAAAACAATAAGGGAAAACAAAGGGAACAAGAAAGAAAGAGACCCTGCTGTTGAACAGTTTGGGGAGTATTTTTCTTGCACTAGAAGTACTGCTCCCACAGTTGACTGATTGCCAAAAATCTGCTCCTTCATACTTTTCCACTGGCCTGGTACATCTCATCCAAGTCATCCAAAGACTTGGCTGGACGACATCTCTCCCATTGCCACCCTGAAATCACTGTGCCCAATGAGATCACTGCTTTCAGTGTCTGCCACTTCATTCAGAGCTAATACAAAAACCATCTGAACGTGCCTGGAGTCACGAAGACTAGTGGTGGCTGAGGAACCATGAGATTCACCTCACACACACACACACACACACACACACACACACACACACACACACACACACACACACACACACACACACACTGCTGTTGCCATGGTGAGATGTAAAGAGGTGCCATGTTGAAAGGAGGAGTGGGGCGAGGGAGATGCAGTGGAAACAGAGAATCCAGTGTTTGCGCGCTCTTTCTCTCTCTTGTTTTTCAATCAATCAGCCAGCTAGTCAGTGAGTGTTATATGCCAACTCCATCTCTGGGAAAACTGAGGTGGAATGAACTCGAATGCTTTGCAGTTTGTGAAAGAGATAGACATGCTCCACCAGTTAAAACAGATTACAACTCATTCAAATTTCATTTAAAGGTTCAATCTGCCAATTTGTTCCCTGTTGAGACTCAGATGCCACATCCTGTTAGCAGCTGGCAGTCTTGTAGCGATTACAGGAGCAAAAGGGAACATGAAGAGATTACAAGAGCAAGACGAGCAAATTGAATGTATGAGCCCCTGCTTGGCAATTTGATTTCTGTCTTAGAAATGGTGTGAATTGTGCCTTTAACTGCCGCTCAGCTCTTCACCTCTGGCATCACGCTGAGCATGTCACCATGGTAACAAGTTTTACCTGAGGTCACTGGGGCTGCCCGGAGCGCAGATTCCCAGCAGCCTATGCCTCACCAGCAGGACAGAGTGGGAATTATGGGTAGGGATGTTGGATGGCGATACAGCTCCTTTTTTCTTTTTTTTTTTAACACATATGTAAACCTGTTAATAGACAGTCGTCACTCAGGTATTGGTCCCTGCCAGTGGTGGATCCACTTAATTATTTTTACAGTAAGACTGTGTTGATTGGTAAAGAAACCTTCGGAAGGTTGCACTGCATGTGTCCGGCAGCTCTGATTGTATCTCTTATTTGTTTTTGACACCTCTGATTGGTCAAACCGTAACCTCCACCCATCCATATGAGTGCATTTTGTATTTCTAAACCATGAATAGTATTCTCCATCCCCTTCTGTGTGCGTGCGTGTGAAAGTCAGGGAGATGCTGATGATCTGATCTATTGTGACATATCATGAGCTTTCTGGGGCTACAGGGCAGATGGACCTCACAGTGTGCAGTCACTCAGACAGTAGACACACACACACACACACACACACACACACATACTTACATGGCAGAGCACCCAAGAGTCTGGATTTGATCCATGTTGCTTTACATGGCCTTCAAGAATAATATGCATTCCTGTATGTTTGTGTGTGCATGCGTTAGTGGACTGACTGATTGCTTAACTGATCAACAGAATATTAATTGGTAACCATTTCAATAATCTATTCATTGTCATTTTTGAAGCAAAAGCGACAAAAATTTAATGACTTTTCACATGTGAAAATGGTTTTCTTGGTCCACCTATGAAGGTAAATCATTTGGTTTTATAAAACAGGGTGTTAAGTTGGAAGGGTTTCCAATGCTATACAAATTGTAAAGTAATTTGAGGCAAATTTGTGAATTATGTTAAAACGATTTGTGGCACAAAACAAGCCCTTGGCATTTTTTTTTTTTTTGCTATTTCCTGCATTTTGTAGACTGAACTATTAATTGATCAATAGAGAAAAATAACTGTCAACTGTCAAAAATAAAATATAACTCATAGGTGAGTTTTATATAATCATTTAAAATCATAGCGAGACCTATACATTAAACTATAGGCCTCTAGAGGACCGCTATAGGAATATTAAGGCTATATTATCTACTGCCTGTTTGTTCTTTTTTATTTTCTTGGTCTATTACTGTCTAAGGGTCACAGTACAATAATGTTTTGTTTTCAAATTGTATCGCATTATACCCAGAGGTGTTTTAGCCTACCCTCATTGATATAAACCGGGTGGACAAGCTGCCGCCTCCAAAATGACAATTATGTTAAATAAGCACCTCTCTGAAAAAGTTTCACACAAACTGAACATTGTAACCTTCATGTATGGAGGATTTTGTTGCACGACTGTTGTATGAGACTGCATTAATTTTAGCTGGATGTGCCTAATAAATTGACAGCTGGGTGCAAATGAAGAATCACCTGTACAATGTTCCTTATTAATTACATATCCACAACCACGTGGTCTCCGGGGTTTAAAGCGAGCGAGACAGGACGTCAGGCGTTCATTTACCGGTCAATATGTCACAGTGTTAACGCCTGGTTACACATTGAGGGCGAGAGATGCGGCGAAAAGGGGGGGGGGGTGGCGATATAGTGGCAGCGCGTGCCCAAGTGAACCCCGGCGACCCTCTACGTGCACGAGCCACCCTGTTGCTGGGCAGCAGCAGCAGCGCTCATTTCTACATTTCCAGGATTTTTCAGATTTCAGCGCGAGAGAGAGAGAGTGTGTGTATGTGTGTGTGTGTGTGTGTGTGTGCGTGCGTGCGTGCGTGCGTGCGTGTGCGCCCCAACAGATACTTCTTGTGTCCAATTTTCGTTCCCACACTGCCTGTCTTCATCTCTCAAGGGATGGACAGTAGCTAAATAAGAATGGGGTGGGGGGCTCGGTTGTCTCGGGCTTCTCCTGGATGTCTGGAGGAATTCAGTCCATTCAACACCGTGAATTAGCCCCCTGTAGCCAGACCACAGTGCACCTAATCCCGCCTTTGTCTGGGCCACGCACCGCCGCAGCTGCAGTAGCTACTGAGCTGTCAAATGTCTCCGTCTCTCCGATCACCCACAGAACTATATTTTTTCTCCTTTATAAAGACGTGCAGTGCGAGAGCTCATGACATTTAAGACAAACCAGTTACCCATTAACAGGTATGTACAGGAGGCAAAGGTTTTTTCTCCTTAATGGACATGAGATTGGCCGGACCATGGCCACAGTCAGTGGTTCAAGTGTTATTAATAATCAATATAGCAGCTCTTAACAGAAGAGAGATCATTTCACACCAGACCATAACATTTACCTGCACATCTTAAGAATTGATTGATAGTTTTTTGAATGCAAATGTATAAAAATGAACCCAATGACATCATTAATGCCAGGATGCAAAGGATTGTTAATGCATTTAAGAGATAAGTGTCCATACTAAACAGAATACAGCCTATCAATGCCAAGCAGGTTACTACCAATATATGCTCAAAGAATCCAGTAATGACAATAGAAAGATTATTAAAAATAACCATTAATGCACAAATTTTAAATGGCAGCGTCCCTATGCTGCATAGATGGACAATGTCATTTGTCATTTCCTTCGTCAAAGCCAATGCAGGTGTGATTTGATTCTCGCACGTGAGCGCTTGCATGCAACACACATACATGCATACACATACACATTTACACACGCACAGGGTGGGACTCCGGTAGTGCAACGGACTTACCGTGAGCAGACAGGGGGGTGATGACCAGCGAGATGGTCAGTAGCACCTGCCAGGTCCCCAAACGACTGTCACTGCGCGCCATACCGTTGGCTATTCCTTTTGGTACACTGATGCAAACTCTGATCCCGTTCCTCGTTGCAGCGGTCAGGTTTTGGACTGTACGATAATCCTCACAGCGGATCCTCCAAAGTTCAGATCTTTCCCGTTTTCGCCATGTCGCCGTTTTCCTTACCAGCGTCTGGCCTCCTTCACAGCTGCAGCTTGTGTGTGTGTGTGTGTAGGTGTGTATGTGTGTGTTTTGTGTGTGTGTACGTCTGAACCGTTTAACGGCTCGGGTTCGGTTCCATTGTGCCCTCTCCTCCACACCTTTTGAGCGCGCGCGTGTCACTCTGGGTCCGTCGACAGCACCGTCAGCACCGCGAGGAGTTGTAGTAGTAATGCGCGCGACCGGCAGAGGGTCTGCAGACGAGATTTTAATGAGCCGGGTTTGTCGCTGCCTGCCTGCGATCCGTTAAGCCTTTCCCTTTGGCTACTAGAGGCGATGAGCGGCAAAGCACGGCACGGTGCGGCGCGGCGCAGAACGGCAAGGCAAGGCGCGCGCGCACTGTGCGTTTGGGTGTCAAAGTGCCAACACACACGCACAGAGAGAGAGAGAGACGCACACACAGAGTAAATGCTTAGCAGTGTCCAGCCTCAGCAGCCTGCTGTAGCTTGTGTAGAATCGGGGTGAGAGGGGGATTTAAGCAGCGTCTGTTGTCACTGGAAGTCAATATGCTCCATTTACACCACTGCTAATGTGTGTGTGAACACTATGTCCAAGTCTCTCTCTCTCCCTCTCTCTGGGTGGTGTTTATATGTCAGGGGGTTATTTGGGTGCATGCTGGTTTTGGCCAGTGCAGAGGTGTGTGTGTGTGTGTGCGCGTGTGTGTGTATTGGTCTTCACGATGGGTGGTTAATCCTCTTACTGTTATATTGTAATATAGGCTCCAGACAATGGCATCTGCCTATTCCCCCCCAATACAGTCTCACACACACACACACACACACACACACACACACACACACACACACACACACACACACACACACACACACACACACACACTGCCCACCGCCATTTCTATTATTTTCTTCCTCTTCCCACCAGACAGCCTAACACACACATCATTTTCACGTTGCCTTTGCTCCACTACATTTTGCTATCTTTCCCTCTATCACCCTAAATAGTGTAACATGTAATCACTTCTCTGTGACACTAATCCACTTTCCTGTTTTTCTTTTCCCTTTTCTGTCACAAACATCTAACAAAATGGCCCGTGGAAGGCTGACTACCCACTCTCCTGCTAAACAGGATTATGTCAGATACATTATGAAATAATTAAGACCAAATGCTCTGTTCGCGGTGAACAAACTGCAGTTTCTCTCATAACTCATTGAATCGGTAGTGAATCGATCCCAGCTCCTGCTGTGAGCAGCATCCTGCTTTTCCTCATCAATTATCCCTCAAAAAACACCACAATCCAAACTGAGTCCATTCCTCACATCCCCACTCTTAATGACAGAATAGTAGGAATTTGTATAAGAAGGAGCTGGCAGAGGGAGAGAGGGAAAGATAGAGGAGGGGACAGACAACACAAGAGGGGAATAGAGAGAGAGGGTATGTGTGTGTGATGGGATATAGACGATGGACAGAGATGGGTAAGCATTGAAGAGAGGGAGCTGGAGAGTGGTGGAGATAGAGAAACAGAAAAATGTTCACTGATGCACTGCCAAACAGAGCAGAACGAAATTGCTTCTGCCCCCGCCTACCCCCCCCTACACACAAACACACACACACACAGAAATACACACACTTATCTGCCATGATAAATACACACAAGCACGTATATCTTATCTTTTCACTCTCACTCTTCCTCTAGCGATTGAATTAATTCCAGTATTTGGCTTTTTACAGGCAGAATAGGTTAGTTTTTCAGACTGTATGGGGAGGAAAGAAGTATTTTCTAGCGTAGGACGAACAGATGGATCTTACTGAGAAGCAGAGTGGAAGAATAGCACACCTAAGTTGACGCCAAGCTCTGTGCGTGCATGTGTTTGTGCATGTTGTTGATCAGGCCACGTCGGTTTTTCCATCCTGTGTTCCTGTGTTGAACAGTGAGGGGTGGACAGGATGTCCAAATTCCCTCCAGTGCATACTCTGCGTGTCTGTGAATGTGTGTCCAATGTTGTAACATCCACTCTAGGTAGAAGAAAAGGCTGCTTACAAAACTATATCTAAACCCATGAAGCCTACAATATGGCACAAGTTCTCCACCTAGGGGTCATGGCCCTCACAAGGGTTCACAGGATAAATTTAAATGGTCTGGAGATGATCAACAAATTGGAAAGCAGGAGAAACATGTTTTTTAAGACTTTCTTCTTGTGAGTTAGTGGATAGTTTCACTTTTCAGGCCTTGAATATTCAAATAAGGAAAGTCAGGGAGACAGGGGAGAAGACATGCAGCAAAGGGCCATGGGCCGGACTCAGGGCCGGACCACTGTGGTTAGGACTAAGCCTTTATGGTACATGCCAGCCAGGTGAGCCACCGGGGCACCTTCCATTGTTGTTTTACTTTCTGTCTTGTTTTCCCTCCAGTGTGATTGTCTGTCCCGCCCTAATGTGTTACACCTACTTTACCTCAGCCTTCTTGGTGTATTTAAGTCTCTGTCTTCCCCTCTGTCTTTGTCAGTTTGTCTGTTTTGCGCCTGTTTGTATCTGCTGTCCTGTTTTTTCAGGGTTTTCTTGTCTCTGCCTGATCTTCAGTTTTTTTTCACCTTTTAAGTAAGTCTTCTGTGTTGTTGTTTTCTTAATTACACCATCGAACATTACCTGCCAGTATTTGTGTCTGCATTTGGGTCCATGCATCTTAAAGTATAACAAATAGAAATGATTAATTTGGTAGGCAGGGTAGGTTTAGTATCTAAGGTAAGTATCAGTATCTTATTTGCTTATTTTGAATGAGTAAGAATGAAACTGAAAGGTCATTACAACAGTGTTTTCTCAATGTGTCAAAAAATGGCATGAATAAGCTTTATCTGAAAATAGGGTCAAATTACACTAGTGTACATGAAAAGTTACCTGAAATGTATTAAAATAAATAGATTGTACAGAAGGACTGAATATTTCCGCACCTGTAAGCGTTCAGATATACTGCAGAACTGGACTTACTGGACAGACTGGGTCATCACATAGGCGACAACATATTTTTGTAAATAGAAAAGAGTGGATAACATATTCAGTTTCATTTTTGAATAGCTTCATGAGGACAGTCAGGTATTGCTGAATCACACTGCAGTCCAACTGAAGAGAAATGTTGTAGCCTTTCATGTAGGAATGTGGTAATGTGGTTGTGAAACTAAATAAAAAGACTTCACAGTGGATCTGACAGTATTCTGTATCTGTTCCAGGAATACTTCTGCAGAGAGACAATAATCAGGATGGATCTAACTATGTAAGTGATTAACCTTCCACTAGGTGACACTGTTCTGATCATACGGGTGGTGGAGGGGGTGAAGTTCATTTTCAAGCACCATTCATGTGTGGGGCAGAAATAAAAACAGTTTTCTCATTTTAAAATTGTGACATGATTTTGTGTATGTTGCCACATTTTATTTGAAATTGAATTTAACAAAATCAGTCAGTGTCTGATGAATGTATAAAGTGTGGAGAGAAAGATGACATTTTGAACAAAGCAGAAACTTGACTTTTGTTTTGAAGAGAGTTCCTAGACAACTATATCAATCAATCACTGAATCACATAGTCTAACCATTACATAATTCTTAACCATAAAATAAAAATACAGAGTGTCTTACTGCAATACACAAAAACAAACACACACAATATTCTCATCCTCCTCTGAGTAGCTGTTGTGTGTCGTTGCTCACTCCTTTTTAGGCAGGGTGTTACTCTGACTTTCAAAAAGATTGGTTTGGACATTGGGATCGCATGTTTGACAATGTCGCCCGCTTCTGTGGCTGTAATAGCAGCAGCAGCAGTACTTGTGGGAACTGCAGGATATTGTTACATAAACAGAAGTAAGTGATTCAAAACGTTTTCTAAAAGAGGCCTCTCTTGTCTGATAAATTGGCATTTAAATGTTGCAGCTTTATGTCTCAAGTATTCAAATCGTTTTTGTTTCTTTCAGGAAATAATCACCATGGAACCGCTGCTCCTCCACGTCGAGAGGGGCCAGTTGAGGTGGTTCGGGGCATCTGGTGAGGTTGCCTCCCGGACGCCTCCCTGGGGAGGTGTTTCGGGCATGTCCAACTCGGGGGCCGACCAGGGACACGCTGAAGGGATTAAATCTCTCGGCTGGCCTTGGAACGCCTCGGGATTCTCCGGAAGAGCTGGTGGAAGTGGCTGGGAGAGGGCCGTCTCGACCCTTTTGCTTGAGGCTGATGCTACCCGGGATCCGGATAAGCACGAGACCTACGAGTACGGAGAAAGGAGTAGAGGAACTGGCATGGACTCGTGTTCTTCTTCAACTTAATGATATTCATGTCTAAGTAAGATTTTGAAGAAAATTTCTGAATTAACAACTTCAAGCTTACTTGATCTTATATCATTGTGTTGGTTGCTTGCAAACAGTAAAATGGCACTGATTCATTTTTGTTTAAATGCAAACAAGCTGATCTGGTGATCACATACCACACAGCTCTTTTTTCCACCATTTTAAAAGAGGACATTAAATTACCATTAAATACATTTTGGTAATTTAATGGTTTCTATAAGGTTTCTCCGCTCTTAACCTCCAGCTTTTTCTAGAAAGTATAGTAATCTTAAAAAACAGCGACAAACAAAGTTGTTTATCTTGATGACACACCCGACCAAAACTTACAGGGTATTACAGCCCTCAACTTAACTCAGTTAAACTGGAGCTGATTTTAGACTATACTGAATGAATAGGTTTTTTATAGAAGTAGTATTGTTATCACCTGTTCATATGAGGAAAGGACAACTGCTGAAGCAAATAAATGGCTTTTCTTCCTAGTCTGTTTCTGTGGGAGCTGTAGCAGGTATAATTGTTTAACTTACCATGTTTAGTCTCTTTAATTCAGTCTGTTAAATGCTAACAACATGTTAGCACAATACCAAAAAGTAATGTTGATGTGAATGTCATTGGTTACCAAATTTTATTACAATCCACCCTGAGGGGAGCATGCCTTTATCAATTGTCAGGCATGAATAAAAATGCATTACTGTCATAACTGCAGTGAGTAAATATAGATGCAGGGATAATAGCTGTGTCGTTGCACAATTTGGGCACCACACCTATGTCAGTATTTGTTTTGATGACCTTAAATTACCAGAGAGCTTATTCTGTGTGACTCTGCAGATTCACATTGTGAGATAAGAGGGCATTAGTCTCCTAGATAAATACAGTAAATAAACTTGAGAAGCTCTGATGAATATCTGTGCTGCCACTAGGTGATGACAAAGCTTCAGAGTGTGTCTAGCAGCCAAAGTGCCAGTTGGTCCATCTTACCTTTCCTACTGCACTGGTGAGGGTGATCACCAACTGAAGCACCCTGTGGCTATTTCCCTGTATAAATGGTGGAATTTCTGTGCACTTTATGAATGGAAATCGGTGAGTTTTCCACTTTATATAGGGCATAGCAGTAAAATCACATTGTGGCTGTATGATTAGGTAATATTATCAGATGATAATATAAAACACACAAGTGTTGGGGATATTGGGGTGTGATTCTTGCATGAGAAAACATTCAGAGCTATTTAACTCTGGTAA